TTCTATCTCTCGGTGTGAGAAATATGTTTTTCTGAATGTTTAGACAATTCCAAGACATTTTTCTTCTTTCATATTTTTGTCTGATAGGTTAGGTTAGGTTGGTTTTTGGTGATTTTCTATGTTTTTTTTTACACAAAAAGGGGTAGGTTAAGTTAGGTTATATTTCTTGTTGGTATTAGAAATATCATAGAAGAAAAATGTCTTAGAATTGTCTTAACATTTGGAAAAACATATTTCTAACACCAAGAGATAGAACGGTGCACTACCATCAAAAGAACGGTGCACTACTATAAATTGACTACTATTAATTTCAGAATACCTGTATCTCCTCATATCAATTGTGCTTGGCTTCAAAATGGCCTCAAAATGCCTGCGATGTTGGTCAGCAGAGTGGGCTCGCTACGCTCACCATGTATCCCCCCCCACAACTTCTTGGACCCCCCCATTTTGATATTCCTGGATCTGCCCCTGCCTGATATCGAGAATGAGTTACTTAAAGCCCCAAAACTGAATACAGGTGCTTCTCTACCTACGAACGAGTTACGTTCCTGACGCTTGTTTGTAAGTCCGACTTTACTCTTGTAGATACTGTGGGGTTATGAGATATTGGTTGACACTCAGGATGGGATGGAGAAAGGAAACTCACAATGTGCTCTCAGTATACATATTGTATTGGATGTACAATGCAGCTTGGTGCTGGGGGGTGGCAGCGTGAGTGTAGTGAGAGCTGGTTGGTGAGGGTGCTCAGAGGAGGACAGGCAGCTTGTAGGGCGCCATGGTCGCCGGCGGGAGCGAGGGCCACCAGGCAGGAGCGGAGGAGGTGTTGCTTGCTGTTGGCTGTAGGTAGAAAGAGGTAGGTCACGGCCATGTGAGGTCTTCATTCCGGCTACATTTGGGTAATTCCTCGCTCCGTCGGTACATGCACGCGATCTATTAACTCAGATTAAAGTAAGTTTTCCAATTTTTTGTGACTTTCTGACACCAAATACTAGTCGAGAAGTGATTGGCAGTCCGATTTATTCATCTAGGACCATTATTTGACTTCATTCCGGCTATATTTGGGTACATTTGGGTAATTAGTTGGACCCTATTGAGTCAGGTCAAAAATATGGGACCCACAAATCATCTATCCTACATCTAACAGACTAGGGAAAGCATTACAACTCAGAATTAAACAGCACAAGTACAACATTAGAACAGCATCTGAAAGCAGTGCACTGTTCGTTCATGTTAGGAACAATATTCATTCCATAGATTGGGAAAACAGCTTAGAAGTGTATAAATCATCATGTGTCACAGAAAGACTCCTGGTTGAAGCAAGTTTGATTAGGGAATTAAATTCTATAAACCTTAGTGATGGTCAGTACAGAAGAGTGTTATGCAATGTGACCCTACCAAACATCACATGTTTCCCGGCCCCCGGTTTCCTCCTGTACTAACACTGGTAAGGCCGCCTAAACGGCTAGTAAGCTGACAAGTGGCGAATAAGACAACAAAATATGTGTCGTATTCGTGTTCATTCGTATTTAGGATAAAAATAAGCAAAATGCAATCACCCAGATGACTTTCTGAGAATGTAAGAATAGATAAAAAAACAAACATATTATAACACGTGGAACTGTCATGTTTTATATATAATATGTGTTCTGACCTCACTAGGGGAAAGGTCACGGCAGGGTTAGCTCCGGAGGGATAATTATCAGATATGGCCAGTGCTATGTGCGGTCTTGGGTATGAGAGTTTGTTGACCAAACTTGGGTGGTCCATTGAAGAATTGGCGAGGGCCAAGTTAGAAATTGAGAGGGCCACGTTGGAGAACCTGAAATTAAGGAGAGGCTGGACGAGTAAAGCCAGTGTCTGACGAAAAATCAAGCGAGTGGAAAATTGTGACTAGTGGGAAGACAAAGCTGGTGGTGAAGAAGCACACGAAGGATACGACAACAACGACAGCTAAGTGTACCAACCCGTTCAGTCCCTTGATAGAGGAATTGGACATTAGTACAGTCAGGGACAGGGCTGACAAGGAAGGTATAAAAACTTTAATTGTTGGTGACTCACAGGTAAGGTACATGGACAGGGCCTTTTGTGGTAAAAACAAAAATAGGATGAGGGTGTGTTTGCCAGGAGCTAGGGTGGGAGATATAATTGACAGGATGGACAATATCTTGTCTGGTAATGGGAACAAACCCATTATCTGCCTCAGTGCAGGAGGCAATGATATTGGTCGGTGTAGGAGCGAGGAACTTCTTGATAAGTTCAAGGCAGCTATAGATCGTATTAGGTAAGGGAGGGATCCCTATCATATATGTCCTGCGAGGAGAGTTGGCAGTTGTTGGGGCAACGACCGTCTTGAGATATTGCAAGTCATCATCAGTCCCATCATTTGAACTGGGACAACTTCTATGTAAGAAGGGACCTTTATGCTAGGGATGGGGTGGCAACCCTGGCTGGGTCTCTCGAGAGAGCAGTTCAAAAGATGTCGAAGTCTTTAAACTGCTAGGAAAACATATGGGCACGGGGGTGGAGGAGACTGCAGTGGGAGCGGGTAAACAAGGCGAAAGATTACAGGGAAAGAGTGTTAGGAATGATGACAAAACTAAATTAGACAGGGAGTCTAAAACTAAACGCGGTAAGGGGAGGACTCAGAACACGACTAACTTAAATGTATACTACGCGAACAGTAGAAGTATGAGAAACAAAATGGATGATATTAGGGCCTTGGTATGTACCGAAGAAATCGATATAATTGCATTCACTGAAACATGGATCAACCTAGACACACGTGAATTACCAGTCGAATACCAAATTGCGGGTTACAAACTGTTCCATACCGATAGGCAGACCAGGAAAGGAGGCAGAGTAGCAATCTATGTTAGGGATAATCTGAAGTGTGAAATGAATAAGGAAATAAAAACTGAGAGGAATACAGAAACAATTTGGATAGAATTAAGCAACGGTCGGGAAAAATTAATCACAGGAGAAATATATAGACCCCCCAATCTTGATAGCGTCAATGAGCGACTTATCTGGGATGAAATGCACAGGGCTTCCACACACAACAAAGTCTGTATAGTAGGCGACTTTAACCTTGGCCAAATAGATTGGACTGACCTTACGGGTAACTCAGAGGATTTTCTCGAGACGATCCAGGACTGTTTCCTAAGTCAACATATAACCGAACCCACACAGGGTAATAATATACTGGATTTAGTTCTGTCAAACAGAGAAAACCTCATTAGCAATGTCGAGGTAGGGAACGAACTTGCAAACAGCGATCACAAAGAAATTCGATTCCAGTTAGATTTTCAGGGCAGACGTAAGGAAAATTCCACTAAAGTACCAGATTTCAGAAGGGCAAACTTTGACAGTTTAAAGAGGCAGCTGAGAGAGGGGTCGTCGGCCGTGAATGCAACCTGACAGATGACACCGACCTGATAACGAGATCTGAGATTGAGTTATATACACAATTTAAAGAGTTACTTAATGCACAAAGGCAGAACATACCATACAAAACTCAAATCAGACAACAATAACCCTAAATGGATAAATAATTATTTAAAGAACATCATTGGCCAAAGGAATGCTATAGGTAGAAGGATAAATCGTGGCGAAATTCACCTCCGGGACTATTATAGGGCATGGCGAGTAGGGTTAAACCGAGATAAGGAAAGCAAAGAGGAATAATGAGGTAAGGATAGCAAGGGAGGCGAAGACAAACCCCAAAGGATTCTACCAAATGTATCAAACTAAAACACGAGAAAAGATTGGACCAATACGGTCAGATAACCGGCGAGCTCACTGATAACGACGTGAAATGAGCAATAATTTGAATAAATATTTTTCAACAGTTTTCACCACCGAAAATTTAAACATGATACCCGAGGCACCGACTCTATTCAGAGATAGTGAAGAAAACAAATTAAGCGAGATAGTAGAGACTAGTAACGATGTTAGTAAGCAAATAGACAAACTAAAGCCTAATAAGTCACCTGGTCCCGATGAGATATTTGCCAGAGTATTAAAGGAATGTAAGGAAGAGCTCAGTATGCCCTTAGCAAAGTTGTTTAACATGTCCTTAAAAACAGGTGTAGTACCAGAATCCTGGAGGATAGCGAATGTAATACCGATTTTCAAGAAGGGGGATAGATCACTATCCTCTAACTACCGCCCAATCAGCCTAACATCAATAGTAGGCAAATTACTGGAAGCAATCATTTCAAACTCTATTCGAAATCACCCGGAGAAGCACAGATTGATCAATGATTCCCAGCATGGCTTCACAAGCGGACGTTCTTGCGTAACTAATCTATTAACATTCTTTTCATCAGTTTTCGAATCGGTGGACGAGGGGCACAATTATGATGTGGTATATCTCGACTTTAGCAAAGCCTTCGACAGAGTCCCCCACGAAAGACTAATTAGAAAGGTAGAAGCTCATGGCATCAAAGGTGACATCCTTAAATGGATTAGGGCGTGGTTACAGGACAGGAAACAGCGAGTGAGCAGTGGCGGCTCGTGAAAAATAAAATGGGACTGCAAGCCTCACACAACAGTAGGATACACAAATTTGACCTACCTCAGGTATGAGTTGTAGTTGATGTCCACTAATTCCCAGGGCATGGTAGTAGTGTTGGTGGTGATGGACCAGTATTAATTGAAAATAAAGTCGTCGTGTCTGCTCTTCGATGTAGCAAAATTGTTTATTACTATTTCATTAAAATCCTTTATTTACTTCACTCGATTTTCCATCGTCAAAGGGTAATTAAAGAAAGCACGATTTAACCACACCGTCCACACGTTGTACGAGACTGAGCTGCTTCAAGTGCGGCGGCGGCGGCGGCGCCAATTAATAACAGACATCAATCGTACAGCATTGACAGCAACTATGAAAGTAACTTAAATTTTGGTCTGATTTTAATGAAAATTCACTTAGCAACGTATTGAAAATAATTAAATAACATATAAAATGATATATTTGTTGGTAGTGTATTATTCAGCTGTCTCTCTAAAGGAATCATACGCCTGGCAGTGAGTGTCTGGGAGGGACTGCACGAGCCGCCACAGCCAGTGACCATTAACGGCACTAAGTCCTATTGGAGCAACGTCACTTGTGGTGTACCCCAAGGCTCAGTACTTGGACCATTATTGGGACTGCCAATAGGCCCGCTGCAGTTTCCTCCATTCTTATGTTCTTATATCAAGAATTTAAAGTTTATAAATTAATAAAGATTTTGGTGCCATCACGAATGTTCAACAATGTCAACAAGGTCGGCCATCTTGGAGCCGAGGAGAGTGTTGGGTAGTCTAGTGTAAACAAACTTACCGTATGGAGGCGAGTGACTGTAACACCTACCAAAAAATGAATATAACAAGGACATAATATAGGATGGTATCATTTAAATGGACGACACGGGAGAAGTGACTAACTACCAACACTAAAACAGGTAAGAAATCGTAAAATTTATAACTTGTTCGTCTCTGTTAAGTTGGTTGGAAAGGGTCTGACCATATAGTCGCCAACCCGTTTCGTCACCCCTTTCATTCCCATCAATATATACACGAAAATAACTGTTGCTTGGGATAGAAAATAGTAAAAAGCATTGACAATTTATTAAAGACGAAAATAAATAATAAAAACATTGTTAATATGCCTGCAATCATCTCTCTGCCCCTTGGCTTATGAAAATATTTACCAATGGTTAATTAAAACACCTAGTTTACAAAATTGTATTAATTATCCCTCGGCATAACAATACATTTGATCATGCAAGCATCTCACCAAGACCGGTCCAACGAATTACCCAAATGTAGCTGGAATGAAGTCAAATAATGGTCCTAGATGAATAAATCGGACTGCCAATCACTTCTCGACTAGTATTTGGTGTCACAAAGTCACAAAAAATTGGTAAACTTAATTTAATCTGAGTTAATAGATCGAGTGCATGTACCTAACCTAACCTAACCTAACCTAACCTTGACTAGTATTTGGTGTCACGAAGTCACAAAAAATTGGTAAACTTAATTTAATCTGAGTTAATAGATCAAGTGCATGTACCTAACCTAATCTAATCTAACCTAACCTAACACAACACAACTCAGATTAAATTAAGTTTACCAATTTTTTTTTTACTTTATGACACCAAATAATAATCGAGATGATTCACAGCCCGAATTACGCTTGTACGACCATCATTTGACTTCATTGTGGCTACATTTGGGCAATTCCTCACTCCGTCGGTACATGCACGCGATCTATTAACTCAGATTAAAGTAAGTTTTCCAATTTTTTGTGACTTTCTGACACCAAATACTAGTCAAGAAGTGATTAGCAGTCCGATGTATTCATGTAGGACCATTATTTGACTTCATTGCCAATACTGAAAGTTTTTCGCTGTTTATTATTTCATCTTACAAATAAGTTTTACAAAATTACACTAGAAATATTATTAAACATGTATTGTGTATGTATAACAGATATTCGTTAAGATTTTACCCTTATTTGCTATACTTTTGGGTACATTTGGGTAATTCGTGGCTCCCCACCAAGACAATTTGTTAGAGACGAAAATAAGAAAGTAAAAACGTTATTACCCATGCAAGCATCTCACTTAAACAATTTACTGAAGACTAAATCGAAATAATTTTTTTTTTTTTTTAATATGCCTGCAAAGTGGGCAGATGCCCAGGGGCCTCCACATGTGTGGTAGTAGCTATATCAGGGCTGGTCGACTTGAAACCACATGAATGACTCCAGTCATGTCTTACTTTTGTGTGTGTGTGTGTTGGGAATTTGTACACTATCAATAAATATACAGTTTATTAAAAATTTCTCAATGTTCTAATTTCCTCAATATAACTGCATACGGCTTCAAAATTCTCCAAAGAAGTGTTCAAATTTCAAAATTTTCCCGGGAGGTGCTGTAAGCCCCCCGGAACTCCCAAATGTTTAGGCTCGCTTCACTCTCCACCTCACCCTCTTGGGTAGTTATAATGAGGGGGCCTCCACAAAAAGGCTGCCCATGGGCCTGAGGGCCACATGCGGCCCTTGAAGCCTGTCATTGCGGCCCACTTCTGAAATTACCATGAACCCTGTCTGCGGCCCCCACACCCGAGCAATTTTTACCAAGAAAATTAAAGAAAGTGATGCTACTGTTAAAGTAAGTTTTGTGATTAGTTAGATCATTGCCAAAAGACTTAAACCTTTTTCTGATGGTGAAATTATAAAAGAATGCTTTACTACAGCATCTGAAATATTATGTCCAGAGAAAATCAAACATTATAAAAATATAAGTCTCTCAGTTTACAGTTGTTCTGCGAATTGACAGTCTTGGGGATAATATTTAGCAGTTAATAGCCAAGTAAGCATCCACTTTCTCGACATACTCTGTGGCACTTGATAAAAGCACTGGTACTACAGATACTACACAACTTGCTGTGTAAATTCGAGGTGTGGACAGTGACTTCGTATCACAGAGGAATGGCTTCTCTTCAAAGCATGAAAGGAACAACAACTGGACAGAATATATTTGAAGATTTAGACAAGGTACTGAGCAAGTTCGACCTTGATTACAAGAAACTGGTAAACATTACAATGGCCTGGTTGGTTTAGTTAAGGGTAAATTGGAATCTCAGAATATTGATTCATTTTCACTAATTGTATGTCATTGTATCATGCATCAAGAAACTTTGTGTGCAAAAACACTGAAATTTGAACATGTGATGAGTGTCCTTGTAAAAGCAATCAACTTTATTAAGTCAAAAGGTTTGAATCTCCTTCAGTTTCAACAGTTACTGGCAGACATTGAAGCAGTTTGGTGATGTGAAATATTTTTGTGAGGTTCGGTGGCTAAGTAGAGCAGGAATGCTGAAAAGAGCTTATGATCTTTTGGGAGAAATTTTTTTGTTTTTAGATATGAAGGATAACAGTGTCCCAGAACTGACTGATAAGGAATGGATCTCTGATTTAGCATTTCTAGTGGACATTACTCAAAATCTGAACACTTTGAATGTGAAACTCCAGGGAAAAGATAAATTCATAAGTAACCTTTTCTCGTCAATCAAAGGATTTCAGACAAAATTACGTCTCTGGGAGTCGCAAATCAGAAAGCATAATACAGCCCATTTACCAACTCTCAGCAAGTATGAAATTAAGGACAAACAATTTTTGAAGTATGCTGACAAGTTGACAGCCTTGCAGGATGAGTTCTCACACAGATTTCAGGATATCAGAAGACATTCAATAGAATTATTTGCTGCACCTTTCACTCTGGACATAGAATCCGTTCCAGAGATGTATCAGATGGAACTGATTGATCTCCAGTGCAACAATGAACTGAAGTAGAAAAATTACCAAGTTTCCACTCCACATGAATTTTATAAGAATTATTTACCAAGAGCAGATTATCCACAACTTTCTGCTCATGCACAAAAAATGTTGTCAGTGTTTGGAAGTACTGTACATACTTATGTGAATAGCTGTTTTCAAAAATGAATATATAAGAACAAATTAAGGTCCTCTATTACTATGTGCACCTACTAAACACCCTTCGTATTGCTACATCATCCATCCATGGATGTTCTTATCATTATAGTAAGGGTAAATAATCGTTTAATGGCTGTGGCTCCTTTTTGTGAAGAGAATTCAACTTCCAGGTTACTGTTGAAGCCTAAACTCACCTAACCTAACCTCTATGAACCATGTATTACTAATTCAGTTATTCTCACCATCCAAACCTATCTAACGTAACCTAAAATCTTGCTGCAGCCATTAAACGAATATTAACCATAGTAAGTATTTCAGGCTAATATACTACTGTATATATATCACTCATGACCGTCAATGGTTCAGTAATTATGGGAGGTGTTTTTAGATACAATTTTGTACGCTGACTACTTTCACTTCTATTCATTTTCTTCGGTAAATGCCTAGTTTTCTAGATATAGGCGAGTTAAGATATAGGTTTGGTTCGGTTAGCACATGATTTCAGCCTTTTTTTGTTTTTTTCCCAACAATACAGCATCTTCTAATAAAATTAATGAAAACTAGGTACTTTTAAACTCATTTATAATGAAAAATAGCGGACGGTCACAATCTGAATAATTACCACATTTTAAAAGAGGCAGCAACTTATTTTAATTACATAATAAGTTTTTTCTTGTCTATGCTCACATGTTGTGGCAGGACATTAAGAATGATGGAAATTGCTGGGTAAAACACGGTGAAAACTGATCATATGACACTAAAATGAGGTCTCTACATGCTTTGTATGTGAAGAAATAAATTATTTCCCGTAATGTATGAGAATACCGCTAACACCAGGAGTTGTTCGATCTCATTCGTTTTTTCCACAGATATTCTTATCATTATAGTAAGTATTTTAAAGAGGCAACATTTACTAGAACCTAATAATACCTGACCTAACCAACCAAAGAAACCTACCTAATCTTACCTTACTTCCTAGCCAGACCCCCTGCTTTATTAAACAGAAAGTACTTATTTTGATATCTAGTACTCTACCAATGAAAGCAACTTTTTTGAAGCGTCAAGTCGTAATTTTAAATTTTTTGTGGGCGTGAGTATGGTCAGACCGAGCGAGTCGGTTGTAAACAAAGAGACAACTCAGTGACACAGCAGATTTATCGGAGGGGTATTTACGGTAAATAATTAATTTCTTCACGTATAAACCACGTAGAGACAACATTATAGTGTCATATGATCAGTTTTTCACTGTGTTTTATCCTGTAATTACCCTCAACCCCCATGTCCTGCCCACTACAGGTGATTTATGATCGTAGATAGAGAAAAACAACAAATTAAAGATACCGTTAATACGTACACTAATTAAAATAAAAAGTTGTCACCTCTTAAAATACTTACTCTAATTATTATAAGAACATCTGTGGAAAAAATGAACAAAATCAAACAACAACTGGCGGTAGCGGTGTTCTCATAAATTACCGAATATAATGTGGTAAAGATTCGGAAAAGGTCAATCACAGAAACTACTGTACTAACAAAAATAGGGTTTTCTAGTGTATTTTGTGGTGTTTCAAGCAAATTTGACCTTTTTCCTCGCAAATGAGCCGTTGTGGAGATTTAACCACTTTTTCAAATCCTGAGAAGGACGAGATTAATATTTGTCATATACAGTATTTTACAATATGGCTACTGTATAAAGATTTATTTTATGCCAAAACAGGAAATTTATTACAATGAAAGTGTGGAGACCGTTGGTACCCGAATGCATTTATGTATTTCATTCATACTTTCCAAATTTTTTTATGGATGATACTGATTAATAAAATCAAAGCGACAACATTATATTATTTGTTCTTTTTAGCCTATCTTTCAATCATTAATTACTAATTAGTGGGCTGGGCATGTATATTTAATTTATTTGTAGGTTTTTGCTCATATCGGGTATTTATTCATTCGTTGTAAAGAATTAAGACAATTTTAATCCTTTTAAATTTTTTTTCATGAAGGTGTTATATTGTTAAAAAGATATTAGGTCCCAGTAGCAATCGCAGATACAGTTCACTTTCTCCATGCTTGGACTATCCTTTAGCTATTTCACAAAGGTTGTTTTGTTGGATTTGTTATGAACAGTTGACAATGTTAGTTACCGGTAAGTGTAATATTTCCTTGTGCCTGTATTATTTATATTTTTTTCCAGGTTCTGCGAGTATTATTCCTCCCGGGTTGTGGCGTTCTCATTTTGAATGATGGCCATTCCAAAGATGCTAGTTAAGTTTGTCTCATTGAAGCTGTGTGGCACCTGATCATCTTCCTTATGGTAACTTCCACAAGATGGCACAGTACTGTATTAGCATCCAGGGAATATTTCTTGTACTATCATATTTTGTGCTCTTCTGTTTGTAGCAGGACACTTAGTCTCTATTGATTATTGTTTTACAGTTAAAACAATAATGTGTGTTTAAGTCATTATAGTGAAGGCTGCTGACTATTTATTCAACTGATAGACATGACTGAATTGTCAACATTTACCTGGGAAAATGTTCACATGTTAGTTTAATACATTTCCACTTTTAGGTTAGAAGAGAAAGGACACAAAAATTTTAGTGTAACAAAATATAATATTTCATATTTTTTGTTTACATAAAAAATTTAGATTCAGCTTGATATTGCCTAAATAGTCACATTCCGAGCAAATTTCAATTCCGGTTATTGGAGAGTTCCGGGTTTGAGGGATTCCGGCTGACGGAGATATTACTCTATCGTACTCCCATGTATTTATCTTTTCCAGGTTGATCATCTATTATCCCTCTCAACATTTGGAGCTTTGAGCATCAGAGTTTTGACCTGCAGTCAAACTGAAGGTGTTGTTTGAAAAGCTCCATTAAAGCTGTGGGGCATTTGTCCATACTCCAGAAGGTGATTTCCACATCAAGATTACTAAGTTGTTCATTAATAACATGCAGTAATCTTCCATTGTGTGTCAAAGGGTGCTGCGTCTCTGTGGCTTATGACTTAAGACCAAATCAAGGACTTTTGTTCAAGACATTTACTGTTTGATGCAACTGTGGAAAACAAAATTGATTCCCAAACATTTTTTATCTGATCAGGTGTACATTATTTATAAATTTATAACATTTCCACCTTGAAGTAAAACAGGATTGTGGATAATATGTCTTTGGATTGAAAAGAATCGATTTTTTTTAGAGCAGGAATTTTAACAATTATTTAAATCTTCTGATTACAAAAATCTTTAGAAATCTGACAAGAAAATTTTATGTTTAACTTTTAATTGAATACTTAACAAAAATAATTTGGAAAAGGAATATGGAAGGTCACCCAGTTGAGAACTCATTCCATTGTTCAATGTGCAATAAATTTTTTAGCACAAATGACATTCTGTTAAAGCATGCTTGTAACTACACAGGGAGAAAGCCATATAAATGTTCCAAATGCCATAAATCATTTCAAAAGAGATGTTATTTATTAAAGCATAAAAAGATTCACACAGAAGGAAAGACATTTCATTGTGCAGAATGCGATAAATCTTTCAGACAGAAAGGAAATTTAATAGTACATATGAGAGTTCATACAGGAGAGAAACCATATCAGTGTTCAGAATGTAATGAATTCTTTAGACATGGCAAAAGTTTGAAAATACATTATAGAGTTCACACTGGAGAAAAGCCATTTCAGTGTTCAGAATGTAATGAATTTTTTAGACATAAGCAGAGTTTAGATGTACACTTGAGAGTTCACCAAGAGAAGAAACCATTTCAGTGTATAGCGTGTAAAAAATACTTCAGTATAAAAGGACGTCGAATACAGCCTCTCAAGTGTACAGAATGCTCTACAGCCAATAGATTTCAAAATTATCTAGTAGTGGATAGTAATGCTCGTCCTACAGAAAAACCTTCGAGTCTACAAATTGACAGTATTGTTTTGATGCCTAACTCAATAGAAGAGATGTTGGTCAGCTCCAGGGTAGAAGTGAAAAAGGAAGGAGGTGATAATGTAGACTCAGTTATTGTTAAGACTGAGGATCCACTCAAACTTGATACTATTCCTCAGTGTGCTATAAAGAGGGAGATCCTGGAGGATTGTATTTTTGTTAAGGAAGAAGAATTCTGACATTTTCTAAAGTCGTTCGTATCTGGTGTTCTAGTGTTTGTTTGTTGTACTTTAATAAATATTTGTCATTAATTTGTTTCTTATCTTTCAAACTTTCTAATATTTTGAATAAAAATGAATGGGTAAATATTTACAAACTATACTGAGTAAAACCCAATCACTGCCCCTAACATGGCATTGTTCATTGATATTTCTGCATAGGAACTGCCACATTACAGGTATCCAACACTACGATGAAGAATCTACAGTGGAAATTGGATATATTATGAAGTTGTGTGTTTACATCTCTCACGTTATATCCAGTCAAGCTCATGACACTTAACACGTAAGAGGAAAAATATGTTTGGCTTAATAGCAGTATATTTCCCATTTTGTTTTTACTCTTCTATAAATGTACTCTCATGCAGTCAGCCCTAAAGCACACAACTATTGTCAGATTGCTTTTGATTTGAGTTGTTGAATCACACCAAATACTCCAGACTCATATAATCCTATTTCATTTAGCTCATCATCACTGGTTCCTTGACACACAGTAGTACACACTAGCCCTGTCCTCTCTGAATGGTGGGTAATATCCTGGTAAATAAAATTCACCCGGCAACACATTTTCTCAACCCAAGGATGTGATTTCTCCACAAGATCTTTAATCCTTTCTCCGTTGATTGTTGGGAGTTCTTGTATTTGTTGCTTTAGTTTATCTTTTTCCTTATCTATTTTGGTTTCAAGATCCTATACAGTACATTGTAATTATCTCTATAACTTTTTTCATACATATTTTGCGAAGAAATATGGCAAGCTCATTATCAGTATTTGAGCTGCATATGAGTGCCTTAAGTAACTCTTTAGACAGCTTTAACCCCTTCTCTATAGGGATGCCACTTTTAATATTTTATTTGGCTAATGCTAGACAATTTTAGACTTGAAGGATGGACATAGTAATATATAGACAAGCTATGATATTCAGTGATTAATTATATTAAGGGATTAACTATTATACACACTTCAAGGGGTCATTCTTATGGGGTGAATCATCATACTTAAAGGGAAATAGTAATTGTACTCAAGATTGTTATATTGTACACGAATGTTAAGTCATCATACTCGAGAAGTTATGAACGGATTCATGGGCTAACTTTGTATGGTTTTACTGTATAATGAGCTCAATGTTGATCTGATATGTGGTGAGCTTTATGGTGCCCTGTGTTTATGTAATGTTTTAATATCACACAGTGGTATGGGTTTGTTGTGTCATAAGCTTACTATAGTACTAAGGTTGCCATGTCATAATTTCACAACACTAGACTTGCTAGGTTATAAAAATACAACACCAGGTTTTTTGTTTTGTTTTTGTAAGGTCACAACTTTGGATTTTTCTTATTGTAATCCCACAACACCAGGATAGTCTATCAAAAGATTTCAGCACTTGGATTTCTATGTGGTGAGCTCACGGCATTGAGTGTTGTGTGTCTCTTGGTCAGCAACACTGAATTCTCTTGCCATGAAGTCACTATATTGGTAAACCATTTGGTAAAAATCTGTGATGCAGATGAGACCATTCACAATGTAAATCTTTTTGAATCATCTGAAGATTAGACCTTTAAGTTCTCACCTGGAGTTTCATCCCTTAGCTTAACCGGCCTCAAGTTTTACTGCTACCGAATTATCAGGGAGGGGGGTTAATCTTCAGGTGACACACGGAGGATAAATTTTGTAATGGTCTCGTCTGCATCACTGGTATAAATGAACCCAGCTTTTGTCAGGGTTTGTGTTTATATGGTGTAGTATGTGATACAAAAATATAAATATTTTAAAAGATAGTATGGGTGTATTGGCTTTCTTTACATATTTTGTCTTCTATTTTACCCTTATGGTTATAGATGTAGCATAATACCTCTTTATCTATATTATATATAGTTGCAGAATAAACATTTGGTGTCATGTAAAATAACTGAAGCTATAATTCTCATGTGTTCATGGAAGAGGACTTAAAATAAATCATGGCATCAACAGTTAGTGGTAAGATTAAACTTTTTCGAAATACAGGAATTTATTAATGAAGGGTAATGGACACACACACACACACACATACAACTCCTCCCCAACTTATGACCTACTTGACTTACGACCACCCGCACTTACGACCTGCCTCAGTCGTACCAAAGTTTTGTCAAATTACGTATTTTCAAGTCCCAACGTCAGTACACAGACAAAATTTTTGTTTGTAATTCACTTTAAAATGGCTGGCAAGCTTAAAAGTGAGAGTTTTGTGTTGCCGAGAAGAAAAAGAGCCACCCATTTTAGATTTTCTATGTATTATTTAAGCATTTTCGACTTACGACCTGGATTTGGGTCCCTAACCCTGTCGTAAGTCGGAGAGGAGCTGTATATATACACAGTATATATATACAGTATATATATATTATGGATACCCATAACAGAGTATATTTTATGGTTTTGGGCTATGCAATATGCAATTGATAACTTTCAGATTTTCCAGCTTTGCCAATATGAAGATATTCCTGGCCAATATATACAGTATTATTCTTGCTTCTTGTCTTTTACTGTATAATGACTTGTGCAAAAAGTAAAATTGTCTGAAGATAACATTGAATGGGAAGCCCCCCTCTCAATGTAAGAGTTGGTGCAGTTACAATGAATTTATAACACAGATAAATGAATAGTTTCTCATTAATTCTGACAGCCAGCAGGAAGTTGGCGGGTTCATGACATAAATGGTCTTTCTCTGTCCTTGTATCAAAGACGTTGCTTGTGCACTACAGTATTGTACATAAAAGTCTGTATGGTATTAAATTTAGGTATTTCCTACTTTCAAGATTTACAGAAAGGTATCAAGTGCCACATTGCTCATTATTCATTTGATTCTTGCAAGGGAGTTTATTATGTACAATACAGTACAGTACAGGCTTTCAATCAGTTAAAAGTAAAGTACATTCTCCATTTAAAGAGTATACTGTATCTTACACTAACAAACTGTCGGTAATATCATTGTGTGTAGTATGTACAGTCGGGGTCGTAAGTCTTGAACACTTAGCAATATCTGGCATCTACTTCCGAGTTATACATATATGATTGGGATATACTAATAACACTATTTGCCATCACATATTATGCCTGAACCACAAAATGGGATAAAACTCTCCTTAATACCTAAGATCTTTGGGTACTTGTATGTCAAATACTGCCAAGTGTTCAAGACTTTTGACCTTGACTGTACTGGATATGTTATGGTATACCAGACTTTACATACTGGTTACTGTATACTAGATTGATTATTTTGTACAATCAATCATTCAATCTGAGGAAACTGAAAGCTTTACCTAATCATTGTACTGTATAAGTTTTTGAGCTCATGGGTAAGATGGGTGCTGTACTGTAGTGTACTGTCCGGCCATAAAGGTAGCTAAATACTGTACTGTCTTAGACACAAATCATAAAAAATACAATAGTTTTTATGTAACAAGATACTGTAATGATATTGATAATTGTAAATTATGACCTTGCACTTTATACAGTTAAAGTTGAGTAAATTACTGTGATCATAATCTCATAAGAATGACAGGACAGAACTCGTAGGAGGACCAAATTCTTGCATGTTTCAGTGTCTTTAAATGGTAATTTATATACATATACAGTATGTATATATACACAGTATATGTATTTTTACCAAAGAATAAAGGGAATGTGCCATTACATAACCTATGTTGTATAACCCAGTTAATAAAAATTATTTATTTACACACACACACGCACACACAAACTTACATTATGTATAGTGTAGAAAAGGGTAATGGGGGGGGGGGGATCGGTAATTTGACCCTCCCCTCTCGATGGTCTCACCTGAATCAATACACTGAGCAATATTCATCATGCTGGGGTGTGACTGGTGCCTTCAGGTCCTCGCCCATCTCAAGTCTACTGGTGGGTGCTGATGAGCCACCCCTTGATCTTCAACGTGAGTATCTCCAGGTCCAGCTAGGGTGTCTAATATTTAGGTGAAATAAGCTGGGATGTCCAATCATAACGTACAAATCACGTTTTTTTTTTTATATACAATAAAAAGACAACATTACGTGGAAAACAATTTAATTAATAATATCTAATATGTACGGAATCCTTATTTAATTTACTCTGTTTACTTAATGGCCACCCATTCAAGGTCGTCATGTCCGTTGAACAAGGTCAGTGGCCTGTGTAGGATCCCTCCATTGTTCTTTATTGTGCTGGTAGACTGTTTCACAAGTTTTCTTTTATGGCGAATATCCACGACGGGGCTTGGGGGGCGAAAAAATAAGAGTAAATAAAAAAAAATGGAGAAAAAGAGTATGTTAATCTACACCACGAAGATACCGGAAAACCAGCTTTTAGAACTGAGACATTGTAAGAGGATGGAAACAGAAGGCAAAGCATTCCACAATTTGGCGGTGTGAGGAAAGATGGATATACTGTGGGGTATGAGATGTTTGTTCGGACTCAGGATGGGTTGGAGAAAGGAAACTCACGATGTGCTCTCATGTATACATGTTGTATTGGATGTACAATGCTGGGAAGGCAGCATGGTTACAAGCGTGATGTAGAGAGAGCTGGTTGGTGAGGATGCTCTTAGGAGGACCAGCCTGTGGGTCGCCATGCTCGCCGGCGGGAGCGATGATTGCCAGGCAGGCGGAGGAGGAGCGAGGGCCGCCAGGCAGCGGCGGAGGAGGAGGTGTTGCTGGCTGGTTGGTGTAGGTAGAAAGAGACAGGTCACCACGAGGTCAGGTCTTAAATACCGGGGGGTAGGCGTGGCTTAGTAGTTGACCCCCGCTCCGTGATGTATGGCGGCGCTGGTTGACCTAGACCACAAGGCATACACTGGGGAATAGGTGGGGTCGGCTACTCGGCGACAAACAGCGTTTGTAGGGGAGAAATCCACTACAATACTCCCCCTTCCCTCCAGGCGGTGTAGGAGACTTGTTGTCTGCAGGGTTGCATAGCACATGTGAGGCAGAACGGGCGGTGCATGCCTCGTGTGAGACAACGGCGATGGCGTGGATGAGCCGGTCGCTGGACACAACTGTCTAGATACACAATATCTGTGGGAGTAAAGAGGGAGAAAAAGGGTGTGTGGAGGCGATGAATTTTGTTCTTCCCTCACGGCAGGTACAGAGTCGTCAGATGCGCCTGCTGGGGTGTGTGGGCCTGGGTCGGGAGCAGGGGCTGCGTCAGCAGAAGTGGATGAGGACTCGTGACAGCAGCTGGGTCCACAACAGCAGCTGGGTCCACGACAGCAGCAGGGTGCAGGACATTAGCAGGGAGTACCTGAGGGAGAAAAGAGGGGTGTGTGGGTCCGCACTCAGGAACAGGGGCCGCGGCAGGGGGTACTGCTGGGCCGGGGTCGGCGTCTGAGGCAGGACGGGTGTGTTGGTCCGCGTCAGGAGCAGGGGCGGCAGGGGTTACTGCTGGGCCGGGGTCGGCGTCTGAGGCAGGACGGGTGTGCTGGGGTCGGTAGGACGTGGTGCTTAGGGCAGGAAGAGGAGCTGGCAAATCCACTACAATACTATAACGGGTTATTCTAGTGTGACCGACATCCACGGGCAAGACAAGTGTTACGAGCCCACGGCCTTGCCGGCGGTACACAATGCCAAATCCACCGAACATTTCTCGTAAAGTACCTGTACAAGAGGGAGTGACGCGACATTGCGACGAAGAGAAAGGGAAGATAGGTTATTGACTAAAGGAGGAGAGTTAATAAGAAAAAATGCCTTTGATGCCACCCTATTAACAGTCGGGCAGAAGAACCACCCCAGATACGAAAGCAGCACTCCAAGTTAGGACGAATGAAATCCCCTTAAATCCGAAGCAATTGCTCGGGAGTGAAGTAACTGTGTCCCTGAAGGTGGAGATTGACCTGGTAGTGTGGTAACAGTGGCGACAGGTCAATTTCACAGGAATACAACATTCATAAACAAGGAATTCTTCTCCCTCAGCTTATGCTCTGGATGCTAACACGTAATAGAGTAAAGTTAAGAAAAAGAAGTAATTCACGAGTCATCTAATGAGCCATAAACACCCACCATTTAACACATCTCACACACACACAGTCCTAATAGTTCCCTGTTCTAATAGACCCCACTTCTAATAGATAGGTAGAGAAACTTAAGATAGATAAAGACGATCAGCCAGAGGTAAACATACTATTTACTAATCTTATGCCATTTTTATTTCACACAGACCACAGTTCATGACGAAGATGGCCGTTAGGACAAATAAAATCCTTTATATATTTGAAGCAACTGCTCAGGAGTGAAGTAGCTACGGCGTCTGTACAGTATTCCCAGATTTCAGGAGGCAGCTTTAGCAATGTTGAGGATGTGTGGCTTCCATGACATATTAGAAGAAATGGTGAGGCCTAGTTTATCTATTTTAGAATTTGGCAGAATGATTGTGTCCTGAAATATGATTGGTGGAAGATCATCTAATTTGGAAAGCGTAATTGGTAAATACTGTGTTTTATTACTATTGAATTTAACCAAGTTTCTACCTCCTCATTCGGAAATGGTTCACAGATCCGCATTGATAGATGAAACGACATCAGCTCTAGAAACAGAAGAAGAGTTAAATCATCAGCGTAAGAATGGATAGAATTAGTCGTAGTGTGAAATAAATCATTGATAACAAGAAGGAAGAGAGTAGGTGAAAGAACAGAAGTACTTGTATGTGTGATACCACTATTGGTAGAGAAAGAGCGAGAGATCGTCCCCTTCATATCTGTCGTGTTTATTTCTCTCCTATATTTATGTAGGGTGAATTAAGGGGCACA